AGAAGGAAAGACAGAAAGAAAGAAAGACAGAAAGACAGAAAGACAGAAAGACAGAAAGACAGAAAGACAGAAAGACAGAAAGACAGAAAGACAGAAAGACAGAAAGACAGAAAGACAGAAAGACAGAAAGAAGAAAGACAGAAAGACAGAAAGACAGAAAGACAGAAAGACAGAAAGACAGAAAGACAGAAAGACAGAAAGACAGAAAGACAGAAAGACAGAAAGACAGAAAGACAGAAAGACAGAAAGACAGAAAGACAGAAAGCAGGAAAGAAAGAGAAAGAAAGATAAAGAAAGAGAAAGAACGAGAAAGAAGAGAAAGAAAGAGAAAGAAAGAGAAAGACAAAGAAAGACAAAGAAATACAAACACAGACAAAGAAAGACAGAGGAAAGACGCAGAAAGACACAGAAAGACAAAGAAAGACAAAGAAAGACACGGAAAGACACAGAAAGACAAAGAAAGACAAAGAACGATAAAGAAAGAGAAAGAAAGAAAAAGAAAGACGCAGAAAGACGCAGAAAGACAAAGAAAGGAGCTCGGGGACTGGCCATTTGTGAACATTACCTGCTCTGGCTTGACGCCCGCGTACGTCGCGATGTCCGCCTTCCATGGAAATGATGCTACATGACATTCCTGGAGCTCCTAACCCAAAACCCTAAACCCTAAACCCTAAACCCTAAACCCTAAACCCTAAACCCCTACATGACATTCCTGGAGCTCGTGCCTCGAATCGCTGAATCCTGTGCCTCAAGCCTCAAGCACTCTTTCCCCAGAATGTGCTTCCTGGAGTAGAGTCTTAAGCCAGGGTAGGGCCCCCAAGCCCAAAACCCTGAACTCGACAACAGAGACTGTAGCTTGGGGTACCAAGCGCCCAGTTAGAATGCAACCGACTCTGGTGGCAGACCCCTGGGACTTAACTCAGTTGAGCGGCGGCCACAAGCCCACAGCAGTGCTTGATCAGAAGAATTGTGCGTGCTTCGAGCTTGGGCTAACGCGCCATGTTTGGGCTTGTGCTTCCCCCAACGGCCTCGAGCGCGCCGTTGCTTACGCGAGCTTGTGCGCTTCCAGTGGATTAGGCTACGCACTGCGTCTTACCACAAGCCCCTTGCCTGTTTGCCTTGGAGGGGCTTGGAGCTCTGCCCAAATAGGGTTTAGGGGTCCATAACCCCTAAACCCCAAACCCTAAACCCTGAACCCTAAACCCTGAACCCTAAACCCTAGAACTCTCAACCCTCTACACCTGAAATCAAGGACATCCAAGGCGTGTGGCGCCTGCAAGCCTCCGTACGACGGGTACTTCTGCAGCCTGCCGTGGGGAGGTCGAGGCCCAACAGACTATAGAATCGGTTTGAGTTTACAGTTCTGGGTTCAGGGTCTAGGATCTAAATTTAGGGTTTAGGGCTTCGGGTTTAGGGCTTAGGGTTTTTGAGGTTTTTGAGATTTAGGGTACAGGGTTTCGGGTTGAGTCGGAGGATCTACCCTCAGGGACAATCGTGTTGAGGCGAAGTCTCGGAATCCGAAGAAACTTTTGAAAGGTTTCAGCATATAAGGTTTTTGTGTATTGGGGGTACCTTCTTGGAGTCATGATTTTGAGGGAACCCTACTATGTGGGCTTACATGCAAGGTCCCGTATTTTCGTAAACCCCCCGTAAGATCTTCTTAAACATCCATAAGGCATCAGCATGTAGGGTGTCAGGTCTCACACAAAGGGGCCCTAACCCTAAGCCCTAAACCCTAAACCCTAGCCCCCCTGAACCCGAAACCCTAAACCCTAAACGCTAAACGCTAAAACCTAAACCCGAAACCCTAAACCCTGCGACCCAGCTGAACCCTAAACGCCGGAAAACAGGAAAGCGCCACCCTCCGTTGTCAATGAAGTCCTTCATGGCCTGGTACGGCGTATTTCGCGCTGGAGAGCTCTGTGGCTGAGGATTCAGGGTTTTAGGGTTTGGGAGGTTCTAGATGAAAGCTCTAAGGCATTTGACCAGTCAGGGTTTAGGGGTTTGGGGCTTTAAACTTAAGGTTTTGGAGGGTTTCTGGAGCAAGGGTCTAAGGTTGAGGGTCTCAGGATTCCTGGTTCGGGTCCTAAGCCCAAAACCCTAAACCTAGGGCTTTAGGGGTTTGGGGGTTGTAGGAGTATTTCAGGGTGCCCTGAGCCCTAAAACCTCTGAAACCATAGAACCCGAAAGCCCTAAGCCCTGGATGTTGCCCCTTATGCTAACAGTCCTTACTAGGGATTCTAGTACCCCCTATGATAATCCCTATGAAGGACTTTTAGCATAAGGGGGAACATCCCAAGCTTAGGGCCACCCTAAATCCTAAAACCTAAGCCCTACACCCTCAAACAAACCAATCTGCATGTATGCCGGCTTGCAAAACCCTTGCAGCCTGCTTCACGAAGTCCGGCACTTCCACGGTGCGCTCATTGAAGTCCAAAAGTGTCTGGGTTTGGGGTTTGGGGTTTGGGGTTTGGGGTTTGGGGTTTGGGGTCTGGGGTCTGGGGTCTGGGGTCTGGGGTCTGGGGTCTGGGGTCTGGGGTCTGGGGTCTGGGGTCTGGGGTCTGGGGTTTGGGGTTTGGGGTTTAGGGTTTCGGGTTTAGGCTTTAGGGTTTAGGGTTTAGGGCTTAGGGTTTAGGGACAACATAAGACAACATATTTGTCGAGGGCTGCCTACTCCGGGTCCTACTTACAGTCAGCGCATCACATGGGTTGCTCGGTTGTCTGTGCTATTGGGGCGAGGTGACAATAAACCTTAGACCCCGAACCCTAAAGCTGGTGGCAAGAGCACTAAGCCCTAATCAATGGAAGATACGGCGTGTAGTTCCTTGAAGGTCTTCATGAGACCATCTCGTCAGAATCCGAAGACGCAGCCGCGCTCGTGAGTGTTTACCAAGGAAATAGCTCATGTGGCTGCTCCTGCTGGACTGCGAGTCTATGGCCGCCCTAAACCCTGCACCCTAAACCCTAAACCCCAAACCCCTAAACCCCTAAACCCCAAACCCCCACACCTCGACGCCCAATCGCTTCCATGCACCCGAAGGCATAGCAAGCCAGGGCTCCGCGCGAATTTCTTCGGGTTGCGCCCTTCCAGGGGAGGCAAGTACGGCTTCAGCTGCTTGATGTGGGCCTGGCCCATGTCATGGGAGAAGCTTTGGGGTTGAGGGCTTGGGGTACTGTACATCCCTAAACCCTAAACCCTAAACCCTAAACCCTAAACCCTAAACCCTAAACCCTAAACCCTAAACCCTAAACCCTAAACCCACCGTGGGTGGCGGGTTCTTGTCACGGATGAAGCGGTGTGTCGGAAGGGACCCGCCGAACGACGTCTGGTAGGCCACGATCTCGCTGGCCAGGTAAAGCGCCCAGCTCCAACCCATGCACATGCCCTTAAAGGCAAAGAACAGCTTCTCATCGTCGTTAGGGGTCACGAAGTCCCGCAAGCCATCGTCATAGACATCGTCCAGCTCAAAGCCCAGACCCCAAACCCTAAACCCTGAACCCTAAACCCTAAACCGTAAACCCTAAACTCTAAACCCTCGTTCGGAGTTCCATGGGAATTCTGCCGTGGTCGAGGGATGCACTGTGAGGCTGCAAGCTGTCACCTAAACCAAGGTTTAGGGAGTAGGGTTTAGGGTTTAGGGTTTAGGGTTTAGGGTTTAGGGTTTAGGGTTTAGGGTTTAGGGTTTAGGGTTTAGGGTTTAGGGATGCCTCATCCTTAAGAGTGCATTTTTGATTCGGAGAGGTTTAGAATCTGTGGTTCTGAGCTTTGCGGGTCTTCGAACACTTGTTCGATGCAACTCTGTGGGGCCTGGTACTTGCCCTCCCCACAAAGAGAAGGGCCCCTAAGCCCGAAGCCCTAAGCCCTAAGCCCTAAGCCCTAAACCCTAAACCCAAAACCCTAAACCCTAAACCCTAAACCCTAAACCCTTACAGGCCACGGTTGACCCGAAATTCTTGAAGGATCCACAAGTCAGACTCTGTATCCTACGCCGCGGCCGCGACCCCACTTATCCACAGCCCCTGAGCCCCGTTTAGGATCTTTTTGGCGGCATTTTGGGGTGTTTTTTAGGGTTTAGGGTTTAGGGTTTAGGGTTTAGGGTTTAGGGTTTAGGGATTGGGGTTTAGGGTTTTGGGGTTTAGGGTTTAGGGTTTAGGGTTTAGGGTTTAGGGCCTTTGGACTTCTTTCTTTCTTTTTTGTCTTTGATTTTTTTTTTTTGGGGGGGGGGGGGGGGTTGGGCCTTAGGGTGCCACAACATGGAACCGTTCTGCTCGAGCCTTGATGACCATCCTGCTGAGAAGGCTTTCTGGATGACCAAAACCGGTTTTTGCCGGGGCTGGGACAGACAAAGCCCTATAAGCCCTAGAAACCCAATAAACCCCGTAGAGCCCATAAGAGCTCAACCCTATAAACCCCATAGGCCCTGTGAAAGCCATGAACCCTAAAACCTAGACGAGCCATAGAGCTCTGAAGCTGCGGTGCTGACTCTGCACAAGTTGCGTGCGTGTGAGTTGCTTCGTGCTGCTTGCTCTTCCAACGGCCCATGTTTGAGGAGAAAAACCTGAGGACATACTCTCCTCTGCACTACCTGCATGCAACATGCTGTAACCTGAGGGGGGGTTCTGTACAATCGTGTGGCTCCTTGGGCTGTAGAGGCCTTTGAAGCGTTCAACACGCTCTCGCACTTTTCTATGATAAACCCTAAGCTCTAAACGAGGGCCTCGTTGCAAGGGCACATTTTGTAACGGGCTCTACGAAGAAAGCTACCTGTCTACGAGCCTAGTGATGACGGGCCTCTTTCAGTACTCTGAATTCTCAAGCACAACATGAAGAATACGAGGCTGCAGAAAAGTCCCGCAAGTTTGATCAAGTCCCAGTCCCTCATCAGTCATCATTCCCATTTGGAGGTTGCGACAAACCCACTAAACCCTGCATGCTAACCCCTAAGCCCCTAAACCCTCAACCCCCAAGCCCCAAAAACCCTGCATGCTAAACCCGAAGCCCCTAAACCCTCAACCCCCAAGCCCTAAACCCTAAACCCCCAACCCCAAACCCTAAGCCCCCCAAACCCTCAACCCCAAGCCCTAATCTAAGGGTAGGTACATGGTCCCTTAGGGCCCTTAAAAGGGGACCCCTTATACACCCCTTATATACCCTATATAGATTAAGGGCCCATATGGGAGCCCTTTAAGGGAGGTAAGGGCCATATTAAGGGCCCATGTAAGTATCCTGAGACCTAAACCCCTAACCCGCGAACCCTATGGTTGGCAGGCTTTCAGGGGGCCCCTTATGTACCTCTTATATCCCCGTACAAATTACGGGTCCATAATTCAGAACCCTTTGAAGGAGGTTAGGGACCACACTCAGGGCCCATGTAGCTACCCCAATACCCTAAACCCTAAACCCTAAACCCGAAACACTAAACCTGGCTAACCACTAAACCCTAAAACCTTAGATGTAACTACCCTTAGATAGGCCAAAAGCCCCAAGCCCCATGAAACTCAGCTTGGCCCCGGATTTTGATGTCTGAGCATCGCGAGTCGCAGGGTGCTATTAAATTGGCAACCCAGAAAGCTCCCCAAAACCCCTTACACCACAGGGTTTAGGGTTTAGGGTTGAGGGTTTAGGGTTTAGGGTTTTCAAGGGTTTTCAAGTCATCTTCAAGGGTTTTCAAGGGTTTTCGATGGTTTTCAAGGGCTTTCAAGGGTTTTCAAGTGTGTTCAAGGGTTTTCAAGTCATTTTCAAGGAGTCTTCAGGTGTTTTCAAGTGTTTTCACAGGTTTTCAAGTGTTTTCAAGGGTTTTCAGGGGTTCAAGGGTTTTCAGTGTTTTCAATGGTTTTCAAGGAATTTTCAAGGGTTTGCAAGCCAGGGTTTTCAAGGGTTTTCAAGGGTTTTCAAGTGTTTTCAAAGGTTTTCAAGGGTTTTCAAGGGTTTGCAAAGGTTTTCAAGGGTTTTCAAGGGTTTCAAGGGTTTTCAAGGGTTTTCAAGGGTTTTGGGTTTAGAGGGTTTAGGGTTTTGGGCATTGAGGGTTTAAGGTTTTTGGGGTTTTAGGGGTAACGTTCAGGGTTCAGGGTTCAGAAGACCATAGGCGGGATACGTTCAGCCGTGCTCCTTCATCAAGGAGCACAGGGAAGTTCTACCGAAAAACCGAATGACCTCAGATATCCTAAACCCTAAACCTCAAGCCCTGAAGCCTGAAATCCTGATCCTCATCTCAGTGGGGTATTGGGGGTCGCTGGGAAGCTTCTGCAACGCGGGGCTTGTTCCGCAAAACGCGCCATGCGGCAGGAAATCTCCGGCACACTGCAAAGTACACCACTGAGGAGCAGAAGATCTTAAGGTCTAGGGTTTAGGACCCTAAACCCTGAACCCTAACACCTGAACCCTAAACCCTGACCCCTAAACCCTAAAACCTAAACCCTAACCCCCCTGCCTTCTTACCTTTTTCAGACCAGCCCAAGAAGCCCAGACCCTGAGCGCAGCTTGCAAAGAGAGTTGAGGGAACCCGAAGCCCTGAGCCCTAAGTCCTGAGAAGCCCTAAGCCCTAAGCCCTAAGCCCTAAGCCCTAAGCCCTAAGCCCTAAGCCACAAGCCCTAAGCCCTAAGCCCTAAGCCCTGAGCCCTGAGCCCTGAGCCCTGAGCCCTGAGCCCTAAGCCCTACCCTAACCCTGAACCCTGAACCCTAAACCACCTCAGAAACCAGGCCCTGTAGGGTCGACCGGCTTTTGGGGGATACTAGGACTCTAGGTTTAGTGGGCTTTGTCAATGAAATGCTGCAGCCATGCTAGTCCTAGCCCTAATCCTAACCCAGGCAGTAGAATACACTATAAGTAATCCGAATATGACACATTATTGTTTTCAGTTCTACGATGGAGACTCCGAGCTCTAGGGAACTGGAATGCCCCAGTTGCTCAGGGCCCTAAACCCTCAACCCTAAACCCTAAACCCTGTTAACCCTACCAGCTGCTGAAGGTGGGGTGCATGGGCCCCATAGCTCACAGCCCGGAGGGCTTCCTCCCGCACTTCGCCGTGTGACTGTGCAGGCTAAAGCTGGAGGCTCATGGTACTTAACCCTAAACCCTAAACCCTAAACCCTTAACCCTAAACCCTAAACCTTATTCACCAACGATAACTGTACTTATAACCCACCCCGTAAGTGCCCTCATCCCTAATATGGTGATACTTGGGTTATTAGTACAGTTATCATTGGGTTCATAAGCGCCCTGAACCGCCAAGCTAAAGCTGGAACGGTTGCCGAAGGTAGACGGAGCCCTCCACACCGCCTCGCAAAGTGACCCTAAACCCTAAACCCTAAACCCTAAACCCTAAACCCTAAACCCTAAACCCTAAACCCTAAACCCTAAACCCTAAACCCTAAACCCTAAACCCTAAATGAGGCACGCTGTTCCGGGTCCGCAGCGCCTTCGCTGAATTTTGCAAGAGTGCCGGCTCTCTGTGCGTCTTCTTCGGGTCTTGGGGGTTTAAGTTCTTGTTGTATCTTTTAGAGCTCTGCTCCTTCTCTCAATCTCTGTGACTCTGTGGGCTTAGGCTTTAGGAATTTCGGGTTTGGGTCTTAGGGCTTAAGCAGGTCGAATCCGCTTGCCCCGATCCGACGGAGAAGGTAAGCACTGGGCTTCAGCCGGATAAATGAGATGGGCTCCTTCTGCATCCCTGTATCCCTGAACCCCAAACCCTAAACCCTAAACCCTAAACCCTAAACCCTAAACCCTAAACCCTAAACCCTAAACCCTAAACCCTAAACCCTAAACCCTAAACCCCCTAAACCTAAATAACATGGTCTCGGACACACAGAGGGCCCGCAACGAGATCCTGCGCCAGAGGCTAAAGAACTTCGGCTGAACTCCTCCATAGAAGAAACCCAGGAACCGAATGCAGCCAGTTTCTGCCAAAACCCGCGCACGCGCGTGTGCGCGCGAGCGTGCGCGGGGCCGGTGGATGCTGTTTTGCGGAGGCTCAACCCTAAACCCTAAACCCTAAATCCTAAACCCTAAACCCTCCAAACCCTCAACCCTCCAAACCCTAAGGCACTTTCTGGGCTTTGGATTTCGGAGCTCCGGGATGCAGTCGGGTCTGCAGAGGGATTGGTTTTTGGAACCCTGGAGCCACAGCCTGAATTTTGACCCTTAACAACCTAAACTCTAAACCCCAAATAACCATAAACCCTCAACCCTAAACCCTAAATAATCCTAAATAACCCTAAATAACCCTCAATCCTCAACCCTCAACCCTCAACCCTCAACCCTAAACCCTAAACCCTGCCCTAAACCTGACCCTAAACACTAAGCCCTAAACCCTAGAAGTGGTTCACAGGTGATTCTCGGGCCTGCTGGCAATTAACCGGGTCTGCTGGTCCCCTGGCCTCATGGTGCCGTGGTTTTTGAGGCTTTAGGGTTTGGGGTTTGGGGTTTAGGGTTTAGGGTTCAGGGTTTAGGGTTTTGCTCATTATTGGGCATCATTCTGCTTGCAAATGGTTCTCCCTAAACCCTAAAGCCTAAAGCCTAAACCAAAACACGACATGGGAAGGAGATGTTGGTCCAGACTGGCCAGAAAACTCTGCAAACCCTGCACCCCAGGGTTTAGGGTTTAGGGTTTGGGGTTTAGGGTTTAGGGTCTAGGGTTTCGGGTTTAGGCTTTGGGGTTTAGGGTTTGGGGTTTGAGGGTTACACCCGAGAAAACCTGAGGGTGGAGGACACGAAGCTCATCCGCAGCACTGGCCGGCGGAGACGGGTGAGACGGCGGCTGGACTCGCAGCCAGGCACCTTCCATGATGATTTCGGGGGTTTAGGGTTTAGGGGTTTAGGGTTTAGGGATTAGGGTTCGGGTCTCGAGTTTAGGAAGAGGGGGTGGAAGGGAGGGGGGGAAGGGGGGCTTCCAACCCGACACGAAGCAACAAGCCACCGCCAACGCACCGACCCTCTAAAACTAAAGCTTCGGGCGCTTAGGGTTTAGGGTTGAGGGTTCAGGGTTCAGGGTTTAGGGTTTATGGGCTTATGGGTTTAGGGTTTAAAGGCTTCGTGTTTAGGATTGTTCAAATACGTAGTACAACTGCAGAAGTATGCGCGAACTGGCGATGTTTCATGTAAAGGGACCTCCACAAAGGACAACCTCAAGAAACACCGGAGCATCTAGGAAGACTACGCATCAAATCACCCCAAAAGTTGTGTTGAACCGAGATGCCCACCACCCATCACCTCGGCAGGTCATCATGCGGAAGGGAATGCGGATTCAGGCTTTGGGCTTTGGGGCACTTGCAAAAGCACCTTCTAAAGGGGCTCCGAAACCCTAAGCCCTACGACCTAAGCCCCTAAAGCCCTAAATCCCTAAACCCTCAAACCCCTAAAAACCTCGAATGTATAGCATGTGCAAGCCCCTAGTTTGCGCCAATTCAAGCCTAAACCCTAAGCCCCTACTGTTTACCCTAACCCCTAAACCCTAAGCCCCTAACGCAAAGCACTTGAAGGGTAGTTGGGCTCACGGACTTGAAGACTTCTTCAGGGCAGTTGCCTCAAAAGGGACTCCTATGTTTATACCCCTTTTCTACCCCTAAACCCCAAACCCTGAACCCTAAACCCTAAACCCCAAACCCTAAACCCTAAACCCCAAACCCTAAACCCTAAACCCTAGACCCTAAATATACACCCAAGGGCCCTTACCTCAGAACCCTTGAATGGAGGTATGGGACCGTATTCAGGGCCCATGTAACTCGCCTAAGAGCTTTGCCAGGAGGGTTTAGGGTTTTGGGTTTAGGGTTTAGGGCTTTGGGGTTTAGGGTTTTGGGGCTTTCGGGTTTTGGGGGTGTGAGGGTGCTAGGGTTCTTCGATTTTAGGGCCTAAGGGTGTTGAGAGGGTTTTTTGGGTTCTGGGGCTTTAGGGTTCTAGGGCTTCAGGGCTTCTGGGGGTTTAGGGGTTTTGGGGGGTTTCAGGGTTTGCGGGCTGTCGGGGGTTTGGGATTTAGGATTTGAGGGTTTGAGGATCCATGTCACCAGTCTCACGCTGCCCCACATCTAGGACACCCCCAACAAAAGCACAGGAGTTTAGGGCAACTGACACCAGTAACCGCCGAAAACTCCAACCCGTGCAAGTGTCAGAAGAAGAAGAAGAAATGTTTCGAGGAGTTAATCTCCGGAGGCTGTGTTTGCGTGGAGCCAAAACCGAGGCTTTCGGGAGTAACTACGGGGTATAAGGAGGGACCAAAAGAAGCATATCGTCGCTAAATACCTACGTAGCCCCTTCATTATTTCTGAGGTCTCTTTAGTCCCTTGAGTTGTGGTGAAGGAGAACCCAAGATGCCTGCAGCAGTCAAAGCTGCAAGTAAGTGTCCAAACTTCTGCAGCGGGGGTGAGAACCTTTGCTTGTGAGAGTCCGGGAAACCCTAAACCCTAAACCCTAAACCCCAAAACCCTAAACCCTAAACCCTAAACCCTAAACCCTAAACCCCAAAACCCTAAACCCTAAACCCTAAACCCTAAACCCTAAACCCTAAACCCCAAAACCCCAAACCCTAAACCCGTAAACCGCAGCAAACCCCTCGGCCCTTTAAAACCCGGAGCCCTGAAAAGAGAGCCTGATGCTGCCGAGGTGACACAGCCCATCAGAAAAAGAGCCGCCGGATCCAGCTGTAGCAGTTGCTTGTCCTCCCAATCCTATATATGCCTCTTAACCCGGGTTTAGGGTTTGAAGTTTAGGGTTAAACCCCTTAAAGCCCTAAATCCACTAAAACTATATATGCCTCTTAAACCCAGGTATAAGGACTAGGGTTTAGGGTTTGAAGTTTAGGGGTAAACCCCTTGAAGCCCTAAATCCCCCTAAACCTTAAACCCAAAGCAAACTGAAGCCCCCCCCCCCCAAAGCAGGTCAACACCCGCTCAAGCACCCTAAACCCTAAACCCTACACCCTAAACCCCTTAACCCAACGGGGTTCAGAAGATGTGGGTTCAGGGCCTTGGGTTCAAGGGACCACAAGCCCTGAACCCAGAACCCTGAACCCTGAACCCTGAACCCTGAACCCTGAACCCTGAACCCTGAACCCTAAACCCTAAACCCTAAACCCTAAACGCTGAACCCTAAACCCTAAACCCTAAACCCTAAACCCTAAACCCTAAACCCTAAACCCTAAACCCTAAACCCTAAACCCTAAACCCTAAACCCTAAACCCTAAACCCTAAACCCTAAACCCTAAACCCTAAACCCTAAACCCTAAACCCTAAACCCTAAACCCTAAACCCTAAACCCTAAACCCTAAACCCTAAACCCTAAACCCTAAACAAACCGTAAACCCTCAACCCAAAACCGATGTAGGATTTCGCGTCTATGGCAGCTGACACAGATTTTGCTGAAAATGGTTCTATTCTTAAAGAATACGAACAATTTTGTGTATGACCAGGAGCTTATATTGAAAACCTTGGTAGTGAAAATACCATCTTTTCCAACACATTCAAATCCGTGGAATTCATCGTGAGTTTGCCATCAATCTGACGTCTGGTTCTATTACGAGCAAATGATACATTTTGGATTCAGGATCGCAAAATCGCGGCGTACACACACGCGTATTGCTCGTACATCTTGGAGGCCGTGATGAATATGAATCTCGAGGAGTGTACCCTAGACCCTAAACCCTAAACCCTAAACCTAAACCCTAAACCCTAAACCCGAAACCCTAAACCCTAAACCCTAAACCCTGAACCCTGAACCCTAAACCCTAAACGGAAAGGAGACGGTGAGTTGGGGGCTCGCGGTTGAAGACGTTTAAAGTTCAGACTTTTTCGGGCCGGGCACTCAGGACGAGAATAGTTCTACGGGTACTCCGAACCAGGGGCAAGACCAAAAAGAATACTGAGAAGTTATCAACTTATTGAACTTTCGTGCTCTTATAGTTTGCTACAAATGATGACAAAAATACTAATCCCAGCATCAGAACTGCAAAGAACACGGTGTACATTTTTACAGCCCCATGTACAACTCTCAATCTGTAGGGGCTTTGCATTTACATGTTCATGAATGATTGGTGTGAACAAAGGTCCTCGCTAAAATGAAAATTACGGGTCTTTTTCACGTCAACTAGCCATTCCTACAGGAAATCTAGTCTTCGTAATTGAGCTCCTAAGGAGCTCACTGTATGAAAGAGGTGATGCAAGGATTTTACCCTCATCTGCAAGGTCCGGACGCCTCTCACGCTCCCCTAAAGCTGCGGTCGAACCCTAAACCCTAAACCCTAAACCCTAAACCCTAAGTTCTAGCTTTTTAGGGTTTGCTATTCAGGTTGGAATCTCCAGTGGCGTTGCTACTCGAAGTCAAGTTTTTCGCAGTGGAATCATCTGCACGTGCTTTTGCGTAATCCAGACTACCCTAAACCCTAAACCCTAAACCCTAAACCCTAAACCCTAAACCCTAAACCCTAAACCCTAAACCCTAAACACCCCCTAAACCCTACAACCCAACGATTCGCTCGGCTAGGTCCTTGGTGGTGTGACAGTGACAGCAGCCACGGCACCTCGCTCATGTGTCTATACCCTGAGCCCTAAACCCTAAGCCCTAAACCCTAGACCCTAAACTCCCAAATCTTGCTTCCTAAGCCCTAAACCCTATACCCTAAACCCTAAGCCCTAAACCCTAAAGCCTAAACCCTAAACCCTAAAGCCTAAACCTCAACCCTTCGACCCTGGGCCTTAACTCGAAGGCATCCGAGAGCCTCAGGTTAGGGGTTAGGGTCTAAGGGTTAAGGGTTAAGGGTTAAGGGTTAAGGGTTAAGGGTTTAGGGTTTAGGGTTTAGGGTTTAGGGTTTAGGGTTTAGGGTTTAGGGTTTAGGGTTTGGGGTTTGGGGTTTAGGGTCTAGGGTCTAAGGGTTTAGGGCTTAGGATGAAGGGGCGTCGGGGTTTAGCTTAAGGTTTAGGGAGTTTTGAATCAGGTTACTACGGGTAACTGCTTAGCCGACTCTTTCGGGTTCAGGCTTTGACCCCGTAACCCAAACCTTGGACCCTAAACCCTAAACCCTAAACCCTAAACCCTAAACCCTAAACCCTAAACCGTTGCTCCTATGTTTGAGCTGATGTTACTACTGCAAACAGCTCCTCTCCACACCGAGCCACCGGAACTGGCCGACGGTGAAGCCACAATGGCCTGCAGACCAGCTTTTTGTATATAAGCGAGAAATAATAATAATAATAATAGTAGTAGTAGTAGTAGTACTAATACTAGTACTGATTTAAAGATGATGGAAAAACATGAACAACTCGTCAGTAGACTAAAGGAGCCTGAGTAATTCGCCTCGGCACCAGCCGTGGGCGTCAGCGTTGCCGATTCAGACCAATTAAGTACTTTCGATGCTGGCTCGACGTAGGGTGTTCATGAGGGGTTCACAAGGTGTTCATAGGCGGTATATACGGGGTAAGTAGGGAGTATGAGTGTGTATGCATATACATATGTACGTGTATATATATATATATATATACATATATATATATATATAGATAGGGGTGGCTCGCGTGTTCCGTGGCCCAATTCGGTGACTTGCATTCGGCGGGAATCTACCCACAACAACGCCGGGTCATTCCTGGGGGCGTGAGAAAGAGCCGATGGCAAAGCTCAGTTTTACACCCTGAACCCTGAACCCTGAACCCTAATGAAACCCCAGACCCGAACCCCAAAACCCTAAACCCTCCCAGAAACCAGAACCCAAAGCTCTGAAACCTACGCAGGAGTGACGATACTCCAATATTTCTCGGCCTCCTCCGATGGGGCCTTGGTGTTCTCTGGCTCCTCACGGTGTTCTTGGCCCTGTTGAGGCATTTCAGAAAACAGGTTTGGGGTGGAAGGCCTCTCAACTGTAAGGAATCTACATGGCTAGTTCTCTAACTCATGGCCCATTGCGGGGTATCCTAAGTCTGGGGCTCCATATGTTATTGACCATCGTGGGATGATTCGCACAGAGAGTTTGGGGAACACATGAACGTTCATCGTGGATCTGCCCTGCCCTACACGGCCTTTTCTGCCCACCCCCCTCCCCCCCCGGCCCCCCGGAAGGCCCTTGGTGAGTTTCAGGACTGTAGGGTTTAGGGCTGCACACCATTCGTGCATCACGGGACCTCCAAATAGTAAGATGCCCCCCCCAACCGAGAAAGAAGCAACAAAGCCAATACATATATATATATATATATGTATATGTATATAGTGATCCTTGTTATCGGAACCCCTATTGTGAGAAATTCCCATCTCTGTCCTCTAAACATACAGAAACCCCTAACACCCCTAAAACCCCGAAACCCAAGGCCCTAGACCCCCATACCCTCAACGCCTGAACCCCCTGAACCCTCACTTAGCCTCAAAAGAAACAAAGCGCCCGGGCGCAGAAAGGGAGCACCAAGCCCTAAACCCTAAACCCTAAACTCTAAGCCCTAAACCCTAAACCCTAAACCCCGAACCCTAAACCCTAAACCCTAAACCCTAAACCCCCAAACCCCTAAACGGCTCCTTGGCAGGCGCCACCGGGATGGCGGCGGCTTCCTCCTTGTGAAGAGGAGGAGTGGCCACCTGCAGGGTTTAGGGTTTAGGGTTTAGGGTTTAGGGTTTAGGGCTTAGGGCTTAGGGTTTAGGGCTTAGGGTTTAGGGTTTAGGGTTTAGGGTTTAGGTTTAGGGTTTAGGGCTTAGGGCTTAGGGCTTAGGGCTTGGGGCCTGGGGCCTGGGGCCTAGGGCCTAGGGCCTAGGGCTTAGGGCTTAGGGCTTAGGGCTTAGGGCTTAGGGCTTAGGGCTTAGGGCTTAGGGCTTAGGGTTTCGGGTTTAGGGTTTAGGGTTTAGAAAGGGAGCTGCCATATCAAAGCCAAGGGTGGGGCCATGGTATTAGCGGCATCGGACATGCCACTGCTTTGCATCAACCTGCTCATTGCTCATCTGCTCCGCCTTATTCCAACACCTCGCATCTGCAGCACTGCCTTTCTTCCCCCGTGATTGCTGCGTTGTCGAGCTTCTGCGCCTCGTTCTGATCTGTCAAAGGATAGAGCAGCACCTGCTCATGCGAAGCACTTGGTTTTGGATTTTGGCAAACGCAGGGCTCTGCCAGGCTGTCCGCATCAGGCTAACGGCCGTCAGGAAAGCGCTTGCTGCTTAGACAGCTGGGGAATTTTGCTTTTATCATGGTTAGAGGAGCTCTTGAATCTTGAATCTCAGTATGGGCGGCGGCGACTTTGTTTTCATCAAGCAAAGCTTGCATAGTTCCCCAAACAGTTTACTGTAGGGGTTCTAGATTTGTTCAAGGAATGGGAATTTGTCCCGGGGGTCGGGCGCCCCGGTCTGGGCTTCTCTCCCTGCATGTTTCCATTTAGACTAAACCCTAAACCCTAAACCCTAAACCCTAAGCCCTAAGCCCTAAGCCCTAAACCCTAAACCCTAAACCCTAAACCCTAAACCCTAAGTCTTGGGCTTGTTCTGGAACCGGACGTTGTCCCGTGCCTGTTGTGTCTCCCTGCTTCTCTCCCTTCATAAACGCCTCTTGCAGCGTTGCGGAACCGGCCCTACCCGGTCTAACCCTTATACAAAACTTGCATTCCTAAGTTGGCCGAAAATTGCCACAACCTTAAACCCGACACCTTGCACCCTATACCCTAAACCCTGAACCCTAAACCCTACAGACTAACCCTAGGGTCTCCTCCACAACCCCAAACCCGAAATCCTAAACCCTAAATCCTAAATCCTAAACCCTAAACCCTAAATCCTAAACCCTAAGCCCTAAACCCTAAACCCTAAACCCCCTTGCTAGTCCCTGAACACGTGCCTCCGCCCTCTCTGCAGAGGGTGCCGGATCCGCCTTTGCCGGTTCACTGCGTAGGTTCAACAAAAATGGAGTTTAGGGTTTAGGGTTTGGGGTTTTGGGGTTTGGGGTTTGGGGTTTGGGGTTGGGGGTTTGGGGTTTGGGGTTTGGGGTTTAGGGTTTAAGGCGGCGCAGGGTCCTCAACCTCAGGGACATTTCGCTGCACGAGTGCGGGGTTGGGGTGCCGAGGGCTTAGGGGGTTGCTGAGTTGGATACCTTCTTGGCGGCCAGTGAGCTTTTTTTAAAGGGAACCCAGAACCCCAAAAAAAGGGCCAAAAGGGCACCACTCGGCGAACCTAAACTCTAAACCCTAAACCCCTAAACCCTAAACCCCTAAACTACCCCTAAACCCCTAGACCCCTAAACCCCTAAACCCCTGAACCCCTAAACCCCTAAACCCCTGAACCCCTAAACCCTCGACCCCTCGACCCCTCAACCCCTTAACCCCCTAAACCGCTAGTGCTGCGACACCACAGCAGCCAAGGCTTCGGTTGGCTCCTGCCAGGAGCCCTAAAGTCTACACTGCCCTACACCTCAAAGCCCTCGTTACCTTCCCGGGAACCTAAAACCCACGCCCTAGAACCTAAACTCCACACCCTAAACCCCTCACCCCTGAACGCGGAAAAAAATCATCAAAAGACCCCCAATTAGCGTCCAAAACGGCCCGGTGCACTTGCTTCGGAATCCCTCAGACCCCTAGAGCCCCGAAAGCCGTGCCTAAGCCCTTAGACCCCTAAAACCCCTAAACTCCTCAACCCTCAACTCTCAACCCTCAACCCTAAACTCTAAACCCTAAACCTTCCCCTCCCCCCCTCTCCAAAAAACAAAAGAAACCTACAAGCCCTAAACCCTAAACCCTAAACCCTGAACGCTAAACCCTAAACGCTAAACCCTAAACCCTAAACCCTAAACCCTAAACCCTAAACCCTAAACCCTAAACCAACCCTAAACCCTAAACCCTAAACCCTGAACCCCCACCGCTCCCAAGAAGCCTGGATAGACACGCTGACGGGCTCTGGAACTTCCACCTGTCTGAGCCAACTCTAAACCCTAAACCCTAAACCCTAAACCCTAAACCCTAAACCCTAAACCGCTAGGTCAAGGCTCCTATAGGGTTTAGGGCTATTTGAATCAGTTCTCCGAGACCCAAAAGCCCCAGAACTCGTGATCCCCTAAACCTCTCCTCGGCTCCCACCCTACTCCCTGAACCCCTAAGCCCTAATCCCTAAACCCTAAACCCTAAACCCTAAACCCCTAAACCCCTAACCCTAAACCCTAATGTTGCACTGGCTTTCGTATATCCAAGGTCAATAATCACAAGTTTCGAACATTTATTCTGCGACATCCGCGATTATCACAAGTTGTTTTTGTTTCCGGATGGTTGTTTCTTGCAAGGGTTTGTGTTTAGGGTTAAGGGCTTGCGCAGTGCGGCTTGAGGCCCTGAGGGCCTTGGGTTCCAGGAATCTTAAAGGCCAAGAGCCCGGAGAATCCAGAAAGCTAAGCCCGGCCAGTTTGAATTCCATTCTGAAACGAGGCCCCAAACAAGTTTTGTGGTAGGTAGTCCACGGGCCAGCCCGACGCACTTTAGTGAATTTGCTGCGTCACCCTCTATAGTACACAGGCCCGGCGGAGCGGGGTCCTTGGCAAGGCTGGAAAGCTTCTCCAAAAGGCTTGAGGCTCTGGGGTCGCCGTTATAGAGGGTCCAAACTTGTTTGGGGGTGGAGAGGGGGGGGGGGGGGGGTACCTATTAAAGACAGTGCAACATTAAACGCTAAACCCCCTTGAATGCTTGCCTTGGTCTCTGCCACAATGGCAGGGGCGGCCTCGACCTGAGGGGGAAGGGCTCCGGGGAGGGGGGGGGGGGGCGGGGTTTAGGGTTTAGGGTTTAGGGTTCGGGGTTCGGGTTTAGGGTTCGGAGTTTAGGGTTTAGGGTTCAGGGTGCAGGGTTTTGGGTTCGGGGTTTAGGATTTTAGTGTTTAGGGTTTAGGGTTTAGGGTTTAGGGTTTAGGGTCTAGGGTCTAGGGTCTAGGGTTTGGGGAGTGCCAAACGGAAGCGCGAGCGCGCAGTAGTCTGCAGACCTACCCACTCCAAGACCACCCACTTACACCTCTCAATTGAGACCTCCACAAGTCCGTGGGCAGCTTGGGTTGGGCCAGGGAGGGCAGGGCCACGGAAACAGGGCAGGCCAGGCAAGGCGGGAAGACACCAGTGACATGGCAGATAGCTTGGATTGGCGCAAAGAGGGACAGGGGCTAAGCAACCACCACCGGGCAGGGCCAGGGCCAGGGCCGAGGCCCAACAAGGGCCAAGGGGCAAGGGCCAAGGGCCAAGTGTCAAGGGCCAAGGGCCAAGGGCCAACGGGCCAAGGGCCAAGGGCCAAGAGGCCAAGGGCAAAGAACCAAGGAACCAAAGGCCAAGGGCCAAGGGCCAAAGGCCAAGGGCCAAGGGCCAAGGGCCAAGGGCCAAGGGCCAAGAGGCCAAGGAGAAGCAAGGAACCAAAGGCCAAGGGCCAAGGGCCAAGGGCCAAGGGCCAAGGGCCAAGGGCCAAGGGCCAAGGGCCAAGGGCCAAGGGACAAGGGCCAAGGGCCAAGGGCCAAGGGTCAAGAAGGGTCAAGGACCAAGGGCCAGAGAGCAAGGGGCCAAGGGCAAGGGCCAAGGGCCAAGACCCTCACTGAGCGCTCGACCAGCCCAAAAGACAAGAGAGTGGGGTGGCGGGCGGGTTTAGGGTTTAGGTCTCATAAGTATTTTCACAACAATTCATCAAGAGCCATACACACACTCACCATAACAGTAACCCCTAAACCCCAAACCCTAAACCCTACACCCCAAACCCTAAACCCTAAACCTTAAACCCTAAACCCTAAACCCTAAACTCATGGCCACAACGAGGGGGAGAAAGAAGTGTTGGACGTTTCGCGAAGCGCTCCCCTCTGAACTCAAAGTCCTCACCCTGAAATCGCCCGACCACAAACCCTGAAAGCAAACAAATGTACAGCCCAAACCCCTCAACTCCTCGACCCCTAAACCCCTAAACCCCGAAACCCCTAAACCTCTCAACCCCTAAACCCCTAGACCCCTAGACCCTTAAATCCCCTAATCCCCTGAACCTCTAAACCCCTACACCCAAAACCTTTCGTCCGAAACCGCCCATAACCCTAAACCCTAGACCCTGAACCCTGAACCCTGAACCCTGAACCCTGAACCCTGAACCCTGAACCCTGAACCCTGAACCCTAAACCCTAAACCCTAAACCGTGCTGAACCCTGAAACGAACTTGGCATGGAGCTGGGCTCTCCTTCGTGGCTTTGGGCTTCTCCGCCTCTGAAGAGTTTAGGGAGTAGGGCTTAGGGTTTAGGGTTTAGGGTTTAGGGCTTAGGGTTAATTAGGGTTTAGGGCTGAACAGGGTTTAATGGGGTGTTTCTGGAATTTCATGGGGGCTAATAGTTTATTAAGGTTTTGATAGGCTTTATTAGGGTTTTCATAGGGTTTAATGGGGTTAAAAAAGGTGTTCAACAGGGTTATCTAGGTGTAATGGGGCTTAATAGGCTTTACGGTTTAGGCTTTCGGGTGGCTGCTCTAGGCTTTAGGGCTTCAAGGTTCTATGGTTTAGGGCTGAGAGTATTGGTTAGGGTGTTGAAAAGTTGCTTGAAACTAAACCCTAAACCCCCTAAACCCTAAACCCCCTAAACCCTAAACCCTAAACCCTAAACCCTAAACCCTAAACCCTAGACTCTTTGTGCTGGGGGTGAGGGGCGGGGGGGGTGGGGGTGGTGGACCACCGTCGCCTACTGATTTAAGGTTTAGGGCTTAGGGTTCCGGGTTCAGGGTTCAGGGTTCTAGGGTTTAGGGTTTAGGGTGTAGGGTTTGGGGTTTAGGGCTTAGGGTTTAGGGTTCAGGGTAGGACTGGACCCAAGCTATGGACGATTATGGACAGGCCACCAAAACAGGTGCTCAAACCCACTCGACATGTCTCGACGCCAAACCTAGTGTAGGACCTGCTGTAGGCGACACTGCAAATCAGGAAGATAACGTCTGGCACATAAAGTAGCAGCACAGAACCCCAAACCCTGAGCCCTAGATGGTACCCAGAGCGCGGGGGCATCAAGCTCGAAGTTCGAAGCGCAAGGGGCATACTCAACTACCAACTCGGAATGATGGCAAATACACCATGAGTCGGATGTATGCGGGCAGCTCTCTGAAATTAGGGTCCCCGTCTGGGGTCGTCATCCAGGAAAGCCCTGCTAAACCCCAAACCCCAAACCCCAAACCCCAAACCCCAAACCCCAAACCCCAAACCCCAAACCCCAAACCCTAAACCCTAAACCCTAAACCCTAAACCCAAACCCCAAACCCTAAAACGCCCTGAACGCCCTTTTGCGCACCCCCGGCCTCCACAGTGGTTGTCGGCGTCGGGATGTCTACCTGAGCCTGACGATTTTGGTGTTGAGGAGTACCCTAAGCCCTAGCACTCCTAAACCCCGAGCCCTAAGCCCTAAGGCCTAAGCCCTAAACCCTAAAGATACAAGGGCTGGGGCGTGATGTTAGGCTTTGCCACGGGCTTGGGGGAGTCATCTCTTGCTTCGTAGGGCAGAGTCGTATTCCAGGACTGTTGTACCAATCATGGGAGGCGCCAAGGCCTCTGCCACCTTCACCTGAGAAGCCCGAACCCTAAACCCTAAACCCTAAACTCTAAAACTTTCGGGTTTTGGTTTTAAGGGTTCTTGGGTTTCTAAGAGGACCCTCGCCTCCCTTCATGGCTGTGGGGCAGGGTTTAGGTTCAGGATTTAAGGTATGCGAAACCCTAAACCCTGAACCCTAACCCCTAAACCCTAAACCCTAAACTCCAAACCCCAAACCCTAAACCCCTAAACCCCTGAACCCCTGAACCCATAAAACCCTGAACAGAAGCGATTGTTGGCCTCTTGCAGACTTAGCGCCCAGCAGGGCTCTCCTGCGCGTCCTCCTTCTTCTCCACCTACCGGGCAAGCCAACTCAACAAAGTTTAGGGTTTAGGGTTTAGGGTTTAGGGTTTAGGGTTTAGGGTTTAGGGTTTAGGGTTTAGGGTTTAGGGTTTAGGGTTTAGGGTTTAGGGTTTTAGGGTTTTAGGGTTTTCGGGTTCAGGGTTTAGGGATTAGGGTCTAGGGCTTAGGGCTTAGGGTTTAGGGCTTGGGGTTTTAGGGTTTAGGGCTTGGGGTTTTAGGGTTTAGGGTTTGGGGTTTAGGGTTCAGCATCTCAAGTCCAAGCATTCACTAGTCAAGCACTTCATCGAGCGTTGGAAAAATACCCACCCGCCCAAAGAATCCCATAACATTATGAAAATGTGTCACTTACATTTATAAATTCAGGCGACAAGACAACAACCCTAAAGCCAACCCAGAAAAGAGCGGGCCTTGAAGCCCTAAACCCAGCCCATATAGTGGGGCCTGCGCCCTAAAACCCCGAAAAGCAGCCCAGGCTAGACCCTAAACCCTAAAACCAGCCCAGAGTACGCCCTGAACCTTAAAGCCAGACCAGACTAGGCCCCTGAACCCTAAAGCCAGGCTTGAACCCTAAGCCAGCCCAGAGTGGGGCCTGAAGCCTAAAGCCAGCCCAGAGTAGGCCCTGAACCCTAAAGCCAGCCCAAGATCAACTTAGACCAGAAAAGGCCCTGAACCCTAAAGACCCAGCCCAGAATGGTGCCTGAACCCTAAAGCCAGCCCAGAGTAGGCCCTGAACCCTAAAACCACCTTGCCCAGTAACACGGCGACCTTGCCCAGTAAAACGGCGACCTTGCCCAGTAAAACGGCGACCTTGCCCAGTAAAACGGCGACCTTGCCCAGTAAAACGGCGACCTTGCCCAGTAAAACGGCGACCTTTGCCCAGTAAAACAGCGACCTTGCCCAGTAAAACGGCGACCTTCAGGCACACCCCCCCTGCCCAGTAAAAATGCTACCTTCGTGGAGGGCCATCTAACACTTTTCTCCCACCCCACGCCGTCCAAGGCGGCAAAGCCACCCAAACCTATTCCTTTCAGGGTTTAGGCCTAAACTCAGACAACAGTCCACTTCTAAAACTTATTCAGTTTCATGACGTTCGTTGGGTCCGAAAGTCACAGGAATCGGGGGTCGGGAGGCAGTTTCAGGACGGTCGCAGACATTAATGGTCAGAAGGGGCGCCAGGGGGGCAGGGGCCAGGGTGGCTCAGGAAGGGGGGGGTAGAGCACCCACCCTGCCTAAGGGTCAGGGTACTTACTTTATTACAAGGGACCAGTACTGGTCCCGAAGAGAACGTGTTCCGGCACCGGGCCCATCGTGGGGCGCTGCCGACCCCCATGCTGTGGGAGGCGGGCGAGCGACCTGGGTCGGCTTGCGCCATCGAGGTCGAAGGGCTTCAGCGCCGCCCCCCAACGTAGGGGGGCGGCCTAGGCTCTGAATTTAGGGTTTAGGGTTAGAGTTTAGGGGTTTGGGTTTAGGGTCTAGGGTCTAGGGTTTAGGGTTTAGGGTTTAGGGTTTAGGGTTTAGGGTTTAGGGTTTAGGGTTTAGGGTTTAGGGTTTAGGGTTTAGGGTTTAGGGTTTAGGGTTTAGGGTTTAGGGTTTAGGGTTTAGGGTTTAGGGTTTAGGTCAGATTCAGGGCTTCGGTTTGGTGTTCTACCAAATTCATTTAAGAGGATGGAGCATTGGCAAAGCTTCAAGGGGGGATCCTTCGCAACAAAGGAGCCTACCTTATTGCTTTTTTTACATAATCTTAAACAACAACCACTTGCGCCAATCAAGGATGTACCATGCGAACAGGAACAAGAGAGGCACAAAGGGAGAGCAAGGGGAACGGCCGATATGAATGCATTTTGTCACACGAGCACACACCTACACACACACACACACACACCAAAAAAAAAAACGCGCACACACACACACACACACACACACAAAACGTTCTCTCTCTCTCTCTCGCTCTCTCTTTCCCTCTCTCACTCTCTCACTCTCTCACTCTCTCACACTCTCTCTCTCTCTCTCTCTCTCTCTTCTCTCTCTGGCTCTTTGCCGTGGCTTTCGTAGTCTCACTCTCGGACTCCGGCTCCCCACATTGGCCTTCACCTCTGCAGGAACCGCTTTTGGCACATCCTGCTCGACCTGCCCAAGGCGAGCAAGCAGTTCATCCCTAAACCCTAAACCCTAAACCCTAAACCCTAAACCCTAAACCCTAAACCCTAAACCCTAAACCCTAACTTATTCAAAGACTCTAGAAAGCAAGAACTGCAGTCCAACCACCATGCTGGGACATCCTGCCTGAGTTGGTTTCTCCTTCTCAGTCTCCTTCTGCACCTCATCCCGAACTTTTTCAGGAGGTGGGGGTGGGGCGGAGGTGGGGTCCCAGGCCTGGAAACTGTTTTTGGGACACTTTTTGGCAGAATCGCGCAGACCCCAGAAAGGGGTACCCGGTACCCCCAGACCTATGCCGAACCAAAATCACCTCAATGGTGCGGGATTTGGGGACCTCATTTTATAGGGCTTACGCCGCCCTAGTGTCTGAGGCGTGGCCAGTCACTGCCGTCCCCGCCTATCGGGTGGCTTTATACCCTAAACCCTACACCCTAAACCCTAAACCCCTTGATCAGGAGGTCTCTGACCCCATTCTTCACCCGAAGGAATAGGGGCATCTTCCAAAATTTGGGGGGTGCCCCTTACGCCCTGAAAAAGGAACCCTAAACCCTAAACCCTAAACCCTAAACCCTAAACCCTAAACCCTAAACCCTAAACCCTTTCTGGTCATCCTCCAGGTGTGCTCTGGCATTGGGGCTCCAGCAGCCTCTTTCGTAGCGTCCTTGTCCTGAGCATGTTTAGGATTTAGGGTTTAGGGCTTAGGGCTTAGGGCTTAGGGCTTAGGGTTTAGGGTACCCCTGCAACGTCGATTTCTCACCTTAGCCCCCAACAAACGGACTGCGCAGACCAGATTCTAGCAGGAGATTTGGCTCCGTATTCTAGCCGAATTAAGCCCTAAACCCGAAACCCCGAAACCTGAGAAGAAGGACCTAGAACGGACAGCTGGCTCTCGCGCGCACTCCCTGAGCCTCTGAGGAACTAAGTCCACGTGCATTCCAGATTCATGCTGCAGGTGGCAACTACATGGCGGAACAGCCCCTAAAACACGCAAACGTTAAGCCATCCCGGAAGCACACGAGCTCAAAACTCCAAACCCTAAACCCCAAACCCTAAACCCCAAACCCCAAACCCTAAACCCCAAACCCTAAACCCTAAACCCCAAACCCCTAAACCCTAAACCCCAAACCCCTAAGCCAGGGTCGCGGCTTCCGCGACTTCCAGCTCGTCGAAGTCAAACATGGCTTCAGCTTCGAAGAGTCTCAGGCACTCCGAGACCCCTCCAAACCCTAAACCCTAAACCCTAAACCCTAAACCCTAAACCCTAAACCCTAAACCCCGAGGATCCTGCGAACTGGCGCTTGGAAGATTGGGGGCTCCTGAGCTCACAATGTGCCTCTTGACTGCAGAAACGGCGCAAGGAAGAGTTTAGGGTTTAGGGTTTAGGGTTTAGGGTTTAGGGATTAGGGCTTAGGGCTTAGGGTTTAGGGCTTAGGGCTTAGGGCTTAGGGTTTAGGGTTCAAAATTTAGGGAAGCCACCAGCTGAAACAACTTGGAGGCTTTTGTCAAAGAACCGGAGTACACCCCCACCAAAATCTTCGTACGTAGCCTAAAAAGGGTTTAGGGTTTAGGGTTTAGAGCTTAGAGTTTAGGGTTTAGGGTTTAGGGTTTGGGGTTTAGGGGGTACATTGAGAAGGAAGCTCCTGGCCCTACCCACAACCCCTTTTAACCCTAATATCTAATAACCCTAGACCGCCCTAAACCACCCTAAACCACCCTGAACCAACCTAAACCACCCTCAACCACCCTCAACCACCCTAAACCATTCTAAGGGACCAAGATAACTACCCCAAGAGCCCTAAACCCTAAACCCTAAACCCTAAACCCTACACCCTAAACCCTAAACCCTAAACCCTAAACCTCTTTTTTTGCTGGCTGCGGCGAGCGGGAGCTGGTGAGGTGAGCAGGCCTCCTGCATTTGGCGCCTTCGAAAATTGGGGGGCGCTTAGGGGGTGCAGGGAAGGAGTTTAAGAGTTCCCTAAACCCTAAACCCTAAACCCTAAACCCTAAACCCTAAACCCTAAACCCTAAACCCTAAACCCCTAAACCCTGAGCCCTAAGCCCCACCGCAGATGATGCTTCGGCACCTTGGGCGGCGATACATTCGGCAACAGGGTGCCCCTTATGCCTCGGTCCGAAACACAGCTCCCTAAGCCCTAAGGGTTCAGGGTTCACGGTTTAGGGTTTAGGGTTTAGGGTTTAGGGTTTAGGGTTTAGGGTTTAGGGTTGAGGGTTGAGGGTTGAGGGTTGAGGGTTTGGGGTTTATCTACATGAGCACTTCCCGAATGTCGGTTCCCTGTACGGATCCCTACATAGCATGGCGCCTTACAAAAAGGATCTCCCAAAAGGGAACCTAATTAGAGAACTACCCACATGGCCTCTTAACATGCGCCCCTTAGCTTCCTTCAAAGGTTCTGAAGTTATGGGCCCATGTTTTCTATACGGTATAGAAGGGATCCCGAATTCAGGGCACATACTAAGGGCCCTTGCAACTACAGGGCTTTAGGTTTAGGGCTTGCACGTGTTAACTTTCCTTGGTGCACTTTCTTTTTGGGGTTGGGGGGGGGGGGGGGGGGGGGGGGGGGGGTGGAGTGGATAAATTATGATGCTTGCTCTGGGATCAGAGGCTAGTGCAGCCCTTGGGCACCGACAAGAGCGGCGGGCCTTTCTGAAACAACCAAACCCCAAAACCATAACCCTTGCCACCATGCCCCTACTTGGAAGCTCTTGTGACAGCAAGTAGGGTTAGTAAGTGGGTTGTGGGGTGATATTATCGGCTTTCTAGGGGATGCTAACCCCTTTAATCCTCTATAAACCCCAATAAACCCCTCTGAATGCTAAACCCCCTATAAACCCGTATAAGCCCTAAATCCCCTAAACCCTAAGTCCCGTAAGCCCCTAAACCCTAAACCCAAAGACCCTAAACCCTAAACAAGTCAATAAGAGCTTCCAAGTTGGGACGTAGGTTTCCGAGATCCAGGAGTAACCGAGGACTAAAAGGGTACTCTTGGTTTAAAGGGGCTGAGAAGGGGACCCAAACCCCCAAAAAACGGACTGAGTGGCCTACTCTAGGTCCTAGTAGCCCTAAACCCTAAACCTTAAGCCCTAAACCCTCAACCCCAAAAAAGGGAATCAGGGCTTACTCTGGGACCTAGCGTAGGTTTCACCTGAAGGGATCCTACAGACGACAGGAAGATGCGGGGGCGGGGGGGGGGGGGGGGGGGGGGGGGGGGGGGGGGGTGTCCATCCCCAAAAGCACTGCAAGAAAAGGAAATTTAGGGGTTAGGTGTTAGGGTTTAGGGTTTAGGGATTTGGGTTTAGGGTTTAGGGTTTAGGGTTTAGGGTTTAGGGTTTAGGGTTTAGGGTTTAGGGTTTAGGGTTTAGGGTTTAGGGTTTAGGGTTTAGGTTTTGACAAGGGTTTAGGGTTTAGGGTTTAGGGTTTAGGGTTTAGGGTTTAGGGTTTAGGGTTTAGGGTTTAGGGTTTAGGGTTTAGGGTTTAGGGTTTAGGTTTAAGGGTTTAGGGTTTAGGGTTTAGGGTTTAGGGTTTAGGGTTTAGGGTTTAGGGTTTAGGGTTTAGGGTTTAGGGTTTAGGGTTTAGGGTTAGGGTTTAGGGTTTAGGGTGTTTAGGGTTTAGGGCTTATGGTTTCGGGCCTAAACACGCAACATAGGCATGACGGGCACAGACTGTCGAGACACTGGTGGGTAGTTCTCGAAAAACCTAATCCCTAAACCCTAAACCCTAAACCCTAAACCCTAAACCCTAAACCCCATTCTCAAAGAGAACTACCCTGGCTCTGAAGCGTCTCCGGACTCCATCCCACGAGACGTCATCAGAAGCACTGGGCGATGCTTGGGTTTAGGGTTCAGGCTTTAGGGTTGAGGGTTTAGGGTTTAGGGTTTAGGGTTTAGAGTTTGGGGTTTAGAGTTTGGGGTTTAGGCCAAGCGGAGTCTTGGCCTTGCTGTTGACTTGCCCCCAAAAGCGGGCTTGGGTTCCAAAACTCAGGGTGAGACCGCGGGCAGTTGCCATCCGATGCCCTTCAAGCGTAGCCTATAAGGAACTAGTAAGGCTTTAGGGTGTAGGGTTTAGGGTTTAGGGGTTCGGGTTTTGGGGTTTGGGGTTTAGGGTTTAGGGTTTAGGGTTTAGGGTTTAGGGTCTAGGGTCTAGGGTCTAGGGTCTAGGGTCTAGGGTCTAGGGTCTAGGGTCTAGGGTCTAGGGTCTAGGGTTTACGGTTACTTGACACTGCTTTTCAACTAGCTTGTAGCAAAACACACTGACGGGGTTTAGGGTTTAGGGTTCAGGCTTTAGGGGGTTTAACATCACTTGAGTTGTGCGGTTTTAGGGTTTAGGGTTTAGGGTTTAGGGTTTAGGGTTTCGGCTGTAGGCGTTAGGCTTTAGGCTTTAGGCTTTAGGCTGTAGGTTTTAGGCTTTAGGCTTTAGGCTTTAGGCTTTAGGCTTTAGGCTTTAGACTTTAGGCTTTAGGCTTTAGGCTTTAGGCCTTAGGCTTTAGGTTTTAGGCTTTAGGCTTTAGGCTTTAGGCTTTAGGCTTTAGGCTTTAGGCTTTAGGCTTTAGGCTTTAGGCTTTAAGCTTTAGGCTTTAGGCTTTAGGCTTTAGGCTTTAGGCTTTAGGCTTTAGGCTTTAGGCTTTAGGCTTTAGGCTTTAGGCTTTAGGGCTTTAGGCTTTAGGCTTTAGGCTTTAGGCTTTAGGCTTTAGGCTTTAGGCTTTAGGCTTTAGGCTTTAGGCTTTAGGCTTTAGGCTTTAGGCTTTAGGCTTTAGGCTTTAGGCTTTAGGCTTTAGGCTTTAGGCTTTAGGCTTTAGGCTTTAGGCTTTAGGCTTTAGGCTTTAGGCTTTAGGCTTTAGGCTTTAGGCTTTAGGCTTTAGGCTTTAGGCTTTAGGCTTTAGGCTTTAGGCTTTAGGCTTTAGGCTTTAGGCTTTAGGCTTTAGGCTTTTAGGCTTTAGGCTTTAGGCTTTAGGCTTTAGGCTTTAGGCTTTAGGCTTTAGGCTTTAGGCTTTAGGCTTTAGGCTTTAGGCTTTAGGCTTTAGGCTTTAGGCTTTAGGCTTTAGGCTTTAGGCTTTAGGCTTTAGGCTTTAGGCTTTAGGCTTTAGGCTTTAGGC